AGGCGGCATCTGAGCTTGCTGCGGCACCAATCCCGACATTTGTGAGACCGAAACCATCGGCGGTCGAATGCAATATGGTCGACTTTCAAGGGGTGGCTTTCCTGTAATAGGAACGCAATTAAAATGCTATTTGCTACAAGGAAACAAGACGCAATAAATGGAGAAACGCATATGAAAATCGTATGTCTTTCGCAAAACTTGGCTGACTGTTCAAGAGCAAGTTCATTGGCCAACTGCTGGAAGAGCCCACCCAGCTCGATCAAGCATTCTGAGCGCAACATGCAACAATGTAAACGATCTTCAAAGCGTGAGGTAAACCGGTGAGTACACAATGAATTGCGCTGTAATGCAGTGTATTACGTATCAGTCAGAAGAGACCGCAGGGATGATTTTACTGTTACCTAAAAACGTTAACAACAAAACTACCGTACGTCTTGAAAGCTGATTGGTAAAGACAAAAAGCAAAAAATATCACTGGAATGGAAAAATATCGAAGGAACGCATTTTCTTGTAACCAATCTAAAAGTGACAAAGACTAACCTATTGCCTCATATAATATTCTTTCTGCCTCAGTAGCAGCCAAAAACTGAAAATGAATCTTAGAAGCTGTAGAACAAATCCAATTTCATGACGTCAGCTTTCTCATGGCTTGTACTACGAAAACAGTCTATTTCTGTAATTTTTAAATTTGAGAACTACGGCCATGCAGATTATATATAACCATCATCGATCACTCCTACTGGGTTCAGACTCTGAAACTATCGACTGCTGCGGACGACCTACCACATTTATGACTTCTCTTCCCCAACCTATCGTGAAGAAGGCCTGTGGGGCACGAGCCGACACGTACTTGCGTTACTTATAAGTAAATCATGCCTTACGTCATTTTTCAGTATGATATTCAACGCACCAAAGAATTACTGTACAAATTACAGTACGAATAAACATGTTGAAACGATGCAGTATCTGAATCAAGCATTTGTAGATTATAACAACAGCCAGTGTAGTTGCTACAGACAGTTACGTTTAGTACAGTCCATGACTTTCAGAAGTAAGATTTGAACTATTTTAAAAAGTCATGAATTCTCTATGTAGAGACGAACCAAGCATTCATATGAATGGCAAAATACATAACGCACTAGTTTTGGTCTTAAACTAATTAACTGCTTTCCAAGAAGAAAAGTGTTTACTGCCAATAATGAACTACAATGATCTAAGATATGACATTTGGAATAAACACACATAAATATTGCTGAGGAATATAAACTTTTAGAATATAGCAGAATCATTGCGAAACGATGTTAAGAACAAAGAAAGCTGTTTCAGAAAGATGACCATCTAGTTTCCGTACTACCGCCAGGCAATAAAAAACTGCTTCTTCGAAATATATCAATCAAAATCAAAAGTGCAGATGTCCCTCTACAGAAATTTAGTGTCTGTTTAACACTGTTAGACATGAGAAAGCTTTCCTCACTGGGAAAATCAATGCTGACATAAACTTTACAGAGGTCTGTTTTTGGTAGAATTTCATGAAATATAGCGTTCCAGAAATTTTTCAGCTGCCACAGTTATTTGGATATTTTCGAAAAACTTGCCCATGCTTACACTTCGCAGCTGCTTTCCTTGATGATCATTGCTCTGTCATGCTTATTATACTGTTAAACCATCTTACTTTTTCTGAAAATAATACTCTCTTTCTATTAAATAATCATAAAAAACTAACGCATCTTTTAATAATTATTTATTCCTCATTTGACGTAGAGAATAAATAATCAGTTGCTGCAAAGAGGTACATTTCTAACGACCATGAGGTTTTCAATGAAGCGCGAGGGAGTAAAACAGACCCATTTAACACTCATGTCAAATTCGTAAAATTTCACTTCAAATGGAGGATGTTCAACTTGGAGGATGTCCAACTGAAGGAATGAGCTTAAATTACCCCTGACTGTACGATCCACTTTTTTTACAATACGATTAAGTCATTTTGACCAAGGCAAGGGTCGGAAAATAGTTAAATTCTAGGTCACAAAAAGCTAAAACAATAGATTCTTTCAATTTAAACACTTTTTATTCAAAGCCATTTGAATAACAATCAC